TGTTGGTTTTTTACCTTTTTTTACCGTAAATTTACTGACTTTTTTTACAGTGTAGAAGGAACATTTACCAGACCTCCGATAATCACAGATGGGTCAACTTGAACTGCTCCCCTGTGTCTCTCAAATGACTGTAATAGTGCATTCATACCAAAAGCGGTTTGGGGATTAAAGCATCTGATTTTTGTGCACAAAAATCAGATGCTTTAATCTAGTCTATGGAGGGCGGTATTGAGAGGTCCAGCAGTACATTCGAGCATCGGAGTATCTGAGCGTCTGATGCTGGAGTTCAGAAAATTTAACTTTTCTTGTTCTGAACTGCAACCGTTGGAACAGCCACCTCCCTATGACTTTAACATGAAAGATGAAGTTTCTTCACAAACTAAAATGATAGAAGTCTTAATCTTAAGTGTGCAGCTTTTTATAGTCAACCAAGCTGTTTTTCATTAATCTAAACCCTAGGACATCTGGAAAAAAACATAAAAAAGTAAAACTTAGTAGGGTTTATGATTGGATACTCAAGCAACAAGTATCCAAAAACTGAGCTGAAGAGAGGATATTCAACGCTGGCCTTCAGGAACCACTGCCCTACACCTTTACGTTGTTTCCTGCTTATGTCATCAGTGTTTAATATTACAGATTTTCTAAAAGAAGTGTAATAAATTATATAAAGGTATGTTATTTATTACGATGTATGAACTGAAAGTCTATTTTTTGTGTTTGCGTTACCTTAGAAGTTGCCCTTCATAAATACATCCTCTCCATCGACCTCGTTTAATAAACCTCATGCCCCAGTTAACTCTTGGACTCATTAAATGAGGAATATATACTTTCAACCAGCAGAAACTCACCGTAAAACTAAATTACTACAATTAAGGAATATGTTTATATCACTGTGCTAAGGAGCTCACTAAAACATGATGATGTGAAACAAACAAGTGCTATATTCGTTAACTTAGGACTATATAAAATCTATATCCTACGCAGAGTAATAGAATATTATTTTTAGATTGATCTATGTAGGAAAACATTGTCAATTCTTGAAGAGATAGGTGATGAGGATATTGCAGAAGCCATTTTGAACCATGACAGCGCTATGATGGACTTTGTGGACTGGTGAGAGAACAACCACCTGTGTTAAAGTACCAGGAAAACCAACAGGATGGTGATTTACTTCAGGAGAAGACCCCCACCTCAGCCCCTTGTGAACTATATGTTATCCTGAGCTATCTCTATAGTTATGCTGCTATAGGCTTAGACTGCTGGAGGACATAGGGACCCCTATTTCATCATTCTGCTTCATTCTATCTCTATTCTCCCACTCTGCAGAATCTCTAACAATCTCTAAGGTTTTGCTCTCTCTGCTTTTTCTCACAGTAGCTTCGCCTTGTCTAATCCTGTTTGGCTGTGACATCATCCTGGAGAGAATAAAAATTTATGGTATTAGGTCAGCCTAAGGCACACCTGTGCAATAATCATGCTGTCTAAACAGCATTTTCATATGTAAAAAGTGGATGAATTATGTTGGCTAAAGATAAAGTGCTTGGTACCAGACTAAGACGGATTAGTATACAGTAACAGGAAAAAAGCCTTTTGTGTACATAAACAAATATCTCAGATCTTTGGGTTCAGCTGATAAAAACTGTCATATTTCTGGTCTGTGTAGAGATTAAGTGGTAAACTATNAGACATGCTGACAACTGTGAAATTTAAGTTAGGCAAAACAAAATATATTAAAAGATAATCATTCTGATCATCAAGGCATAAATTGGGAGAAATGAGAGCATGGAGAATTAATGACAACAAACATATTGTATTTCCCTTATGTTTTAATTCATCTGGTGTGTTGTATTCAGTGTTGTATTCAGCAGTGTTATGTGCTTGGAGTTTAAGAAAGTTATTAATAGATTACCTCCAATATGAAACATCTGTCATCTTTGGGAAACACAACCTTTTAGGGGAGAAAGGTAAGACATATTTATGTTTATATGAAATAATCTGGATTTCTTTAATGAGTCGATCATAAACAGAAGAATAGCACTTGGGACCGTCACCAAGATCACCTCATGTTTCCTCTTTCTGGACTTTGGGATCCTGTACATTGGCTCCAGTGACCCTTTCAGTAATGCTGTAGCCTCGCTAGTCCAATGTGCAAACCTCTGCCCATGGCTGTACATTCATGACAGAATAAAAGAGATTAAAGTAATGTGGAAGTAATTTTGTTGTTTTGGGAACTATATTTACAATTGTCTTACCCTTCAATCTGGAATCGTTCCATCAGACTAATGCACCACCACTTCCGAATGTGTACCATGTCCCTCTAAAAGAAATTATTTTAATTACTCAAACAAATGGTAAAGCATGTTCTAGCTTATACTTAGCCTTGTAGAAATTGCAAACAAGTGGTATAGGAAATTTTATTTAAGATCCTTTTTGTACTTGGTCACATGTCAGAAGAAAAAATACTGACCTCAGTAAACAAGAATGGAGCACCTGTGCTGATGCTGAGGGCATACTGTGAAAATCAAATATCTATTCAGTTATGGTGGATTAAAATTATACAAAAAAACGTTTCAATAGAGACTAGATTTTTTTTTAACCATTAATATAAAGATGCCACAACAGTTTCCGGTGGTCTGGTGAGGGAAACTCTGAAAGAATAGGACAAACATCAAAGAAGAATGTACCAATCTTACAATAAAAATAAAAATGCAGATTTAAGCTTAAAAATACAATCCTAATACACTGGAGAGGTATACCTCGATGTCTTTTCCAAACTTAGTTGTCCAATGGCCTGGAGCAATGTGATGAGCGAGGTCACTGTTAACATCATTAGAAATGCAAATGAGTCACCTCTTACATGTATTAATGTCAGAAAAACAGCCACTGAACAGGACTGAAAAATAATTTTATAGCCATTGAACGAGGCTCAACTTTGAAACAGCCTTTAAACGAGGCTTTAAGCTCATTTTTCTACAACCCAAATATTGGAATTCACAGTATACTCAGTCAGGCAGACTTGATAGCAACGGTTAGAAATTTAATTTTGTCATTTGGCCAATGTGTTGTGTACCTGCAAATTTTGAATACTATGAATTCTTTAGAACTCCCATACTGAACAAGCCACAGAACAGGGCTGATTGTGATGTNTCGTCTCCTTTTCTTTTTAGGGCTTTCAGCACTAAATTATATCCAAGGCAGCGCGTTTCACTCTAGTGAGCTTCATGTTCCTCTGCTACTGGTTTGGCTTCTGGAAGAGTCCCAGTAGCGCCATCTCACTGCGGAGCTGAGTCCCACCTGGTTTTTAGACGTAGAGTGTGAGCAGGTAGATCGCATCAGAGCGTCGGGTCGCACAGCGTGAGAACAAACATTGTGAGATGGGAACTTTTAAATCCTGCGGTTTCATCGTACAGTTTGAGCTGCAGCTGCGTAAAATGATTTAAAAAATCGCAGTGTATGCCCGTCTTCAGCGTCCTTCAGCGTCAAATTCTTACGCATTAATTTTTGCAGACAAATGCTCATTTTCCAATCTATTCTTTATAAATAATTCAAAGATATAATTAAAATAATTTTTTTGTGCAAATAATTAGTTTTTCATGTGAGAACTGAATTCTGTGTCACTGAAGGAGCGAGGAGACCTGGGAGATGCCGGGAGTCCTGCTCTCACTGCTGATTAAAGCGTGTTTCCCAGGGCCACCACTAGGGGGCAGTGTAATGAAAGACAAGGCAAACATTTCCTGAAAGAAGGACAAAGAGCAAGAGACGGATGAAATGGAGATCAGCTGCAGAGATGGCCGTGTCTTTGTCAGGCTCTAAAATAGAAAAGGCAAAGTTTTCAGATGTGAGAATAAAAGTTAAACAGAATGAAGGCGTTTTTCCGCCGCAGACATCAGAAACATGTTGGACCCACCTGGTTTTTAGACGTACAGAGTGAGCAGGTAGATCGCATCAGAGCGTCGGGAGGCACAGCGTGCGAACAAACATGGTGAGCTGTAGCTGCGTGCAAAGATTAAAATAATCTCAGTGTAAGCCCGGCTTTACCGTCCTTCCTTTTTTATGGGATTTAATTTTAGATTTTTCAACATCTGTAAAAGTTTAGAATTAAAATCCTTAGTTTGTGGTTTAAATGTTTTATTCTTCCTTCCTTCTGTGGTTCTTTTCCTCCTTCCATCTCTCATGTCCTTTCTTCCTTACCTCCTTTCTCCTACCCTCCTATTAAATATTTCCTTCCTCCCATTCCTCCTTCCTCTTTTCTTCCTACCTTTTATTCTTGCTTCTCTTC